TATATATATCAATTTTTTTAATCTTTTTCTATTATATTATTTACTTATCATATTTTTAATTTTTTCTCTCCCTTTCTCTTATAAGTTTTAAAACAAGTTACTTTTATGTCGAATAATATTCTTGTTTTTTTATTCTTTATAATATTTTTGTGTTTACATTACATGTACGCTTGCTTGTTTAATTAACGCAAATAATAAACAATAAAATGACAAATTTTGTTTACTCTCGTCGATAAACACTACATATCACCAAACAAAAGAACGCTTTTACAATAGGATAAATATGTATGGACACTCATATATTATAAATATTTATTTGATATATATTAATATCTTTAATTTCTTCCCATTAAATTATATCTTTTATCATATTTATATATATATTTTTTTCTCTCTCTCTCTCTTAATTTCTCCATCACGGTGTTAAATAGCATTCTCCATACGTCTTTATCTTTTACGTAATAATAACTCGGTGGCCAGTGGGATTGATTTGTCACTTGCAACATAAGTGGATGTTTGACAGCTATAACCCTGGCTCCAACCAATTGGATAGGTAAAACAGTCACCAAATGGCATGTTTGGAGGAAAGAAAATTGCAAAAATAATATATTTTATTTTTAAAATAGAAAATTTTAAAATATTTTAAAAATAAAAATTAAATAATATATTTTTTCTTTTTTTATCAAGGTAATTTAATTTGTTGTACCTGTCTAAGGGCACACTTATAATCTTCTGATTGTCTGAAGGCCGAACAAGAACTCTAATCAAATATTTCAGTGAGGAAAGTACCTGCAAAAGACACTCTAATGCTCAAGTCAGGATAATCACGAATATTGATAGTAATAAATGAATAGTGAAATATGGAATATTTATACTAATGTAAATGGGCCATGTATGTGGTGGGTCTCCTTTATGTTTTGCCAAATTATGTAATATAATGTTTAATGACTGATTACCTTAATCTCATGTTTGTCCTTGTTGATCATGATTATTGTTTCAAGTATGGTATTGGCTCTTTCGGCTCTTAGCCGAGCCAAGAGATGTGAGTCATCCAATGGACCTAGGCATATGTATTAAACGAGATCATACTTTTGAGCCTCGGTCACCTAAGAGCTTTTGGGTCTCAACCATTAGCCAGGCCGATTCACTCTCATCAATTAGAATGAATCTGTTTTGGTCGTTTTGGCTGTCGGTATGGTCGAGGTCGAGGATCTTGGATGCACAGATCTTGTAATTTTTAGCCATATCGAAGATTGATATATCCGAGACAATTGTAGCCAATCGCCACACATAATGTCTCAGCCGTTTCAGGTGCTGAAATGATCGACACATGGTGAGCCACGTGTCGTGCCATGTGGTTGCTGTTAATCCTCCCAGAACATTTATGATGTAGATCTTCATTTCAAACTTATCGTACAATATCTGAATTGTGACCTTAAATTCATCTTCTTTTACTTATTTTTTACTTCTTCCAATTTTGAGTTATTGATTCAAGCAACAATGACAAATTTTAAAACCATCATAACTTTTGTAATTAAAATCTAGGATCACTTTATGCAATAATTAATTGAAATGATATAAACACATATAAATTACTATATGTATATATACTCATATAATAATCAATTAAATATTTTAAATTAAATTCATAATTTGAAAGTGATTTTCATATGGAATGAATTGAACCTTAATTCTATACAATATATATAAGATAACTAGGATGTAATATATTTCTATTTTGATCAGGTAATTACTAATTACAAAGAAGTCAAGGTAGCTTAAATTCACTTGTAGAAATTGAAAGTGTAAAGTATGGAAATGGTTTTTGATTATCAAGCAATCAACTTAATGTTTAGCCTTCTCAGCCAAATTGAGTGAAGAATCATATGCATCATGTCGAATGGTTTTGCTGGCCTATTAATCATAAAATGTCTCTTAACTCTTAACACATTCATGTGTAATCTCAAGTACTTATTCCTTGAAATACTTTGTAATATACCTTTGATTTCCGGTATTTTCTCCACTGAAATCTCCACCGAGAATTTACTCCAATTCAGCACATCACTAAAGGGTAAAGAATAATTATGACAAATTATGACGGGCACACAGCCTGCATGAATTGCTTCCACCACTCTAGGACTTGCAACTTCGTGCCCACTAGGGCACAAGCAAAACTTGCTTTGTCCCATTAGTTTTGTGTAGTTTTGACCCTTTGGAAGATACTCATGAACTTGAACATCATTGTCTTTATGCTTCCAATGTTTAAGAAGGAATTTTCGAATTTCACCATGGATTCCACCCGCAAAAAATGCCAATATAGTGCGTTTGTTTGGGTGTTGGCCTAGACTAGGAGGGCCTAACTTTCCAACAGGCAAGTACACTTCTGGAATAGACACATCTCTATTTGGATTGAATCCTTCGGAGGTGTTAGCATTGCAAAGTGCCCTAATAAAACTTTGGAAGAGTTCGGGGTTGCCGGTCGAAACTTTTGGAGCCTGTTTCATCAAGTGAAGCACGTGTTACTAAATTGATTGTGATAGTTCAATAAGTATTTTTTAATTCCACAAATACGATTTTTCTTGTAGTGTTATTAACTCGTATTTATTAATTTTTGTTCATAATGGGGGTAAGAGAAGTAACTAGAGGACTTACCCAATCATGACACGAAAGCAAAAAATGATCAGCACCTTTGCTTGTGTTCCAATAGGGATACTTATGTTGAATAACAGCAATATAGTCTTGAACCAAGCGTTGCAAACGGAGAGGTGCATAGTCAGAATGGTTGAGGATAGGTTTGTAAACATAGTGAACCACATTGGCAATGGTGAAGGGAAGGAAAAAAAGGTGTGCCTCATGAGGATCTCTTGCCCTGAATTGGCTCCACTTATCATTATTGTCCATTTCGTCCATAAATTGACCTTCAATCGCATATATGTCGTTTACTGGCCCATCGTGCACCAATGGATGCTCCCCTTCCTCGTATACCCATATCTTCAATCTCTTCACCATCTCTATGTGGCTCCTGTTTCCAACATTTTATTTCCATTACGTACGTTCTCTTCTTCTCACAAACTCCAATGCATTTTAAAAATGCTATGACACCTTCTATAACATATTCTTTCTAAATTACTATTTGAAATTTTAAAATTTGACCAGTCTTACGTAAATTTTATTTAATGAATTTATCATGATTCTTTTAAATAAATTTTATTCAACAAAAATATCTTTAGCGTTTCTTAAGTACAACAAAAATATGATTGTCCAACATCTTTACATAATTAATGTGATAAATTAAAACAATATTAAAATACCAACTTTTAATTCCTCGTTCCTTTTCAATTTTATAAATTGGCCTTTAAATTTTAAAAAAAAAATCCTTTAATATCTGAAATTTCCATTAATTAATCCTTTTATCTATTTTTAAATAACTTTAAACAATTATATTTAATATGACATCTCTTATAATTTATTATGCATAATCAAGTTAATTAAATCTATATATGCAATAATAAGCCAGAAGGACAATTTTTTTTTATTTTATAAAAGGCAGCAGGACAAACTTGATCTAACATAAATATACTTCAAGAAACTAAATAAAACTTTGTAAGTGTAAGAGATGGAAAAAATACCAAAAATTTACTTTAGGCTATAATAAATGTTGTAAAAATGAGATATGAATATCGGTTCATTGTTTAATTCTTTCTTTAAAAAAAATTATCTTTTTTAATAAAAATAATTAGTTTTTTTTCTTCTTAATTTAATGTGTTTATCTATTTATTTTAATAAATAATTATTATCTATTTTTAAAATAAAATTGTAATTAATTTAGTTAATTTTAAACAAACTGTTCCAATATATAACTGTGAAATAAAAGGCAGCACGTGGTGACATTAATTGCTAGTACTACAAACGTGGAGTTATTAAGTGCTATCAATTAAAAAAGATGAATTGAAGGTGTCTGTCTCAGAAATTTTGAAGCTTACTGGTGAAAAGCATGGGGATTCCGATAAATGGAACCTTTGGGGACAAAAGTTTCTGTATTTGGTGAAGTATAGTTCCTTGTTCGGATAGATTCCTGAATTGAGGCACGTGCTTGTGCTAAACCTTCTTCTATTTTCTCCAAACTAGCCAATTTCTTCCATAAGAAAAACCGAAACAAAAGAAGTAAGTTAGAGAAAAAAAGAACATGAATTAATGATAAGATAATCGACCTCGGACAATTTAAGGTTGTACCTTAATAACACCACTGTGAAGGGTGGTATTGTGCATGTAAGTGTGGTTTGCAGGGGTTAATTGAGGGAAAAGCTCAAGTGGGTGCAACGGTGGGGATGTTATATTAGTGTTATTGTCGTCTTTGATAGTGGAAAGTAAAAAGGGAAGATGGTTTTGTTGGTCGAAGGGAGATAAAAAGATGAAGGAACTGAGAAAGAAAAAGAAAAAGAAAAAGAGGGGGAATAAAAATGCAGAAAAGGAGATGGGGCATCTGAACCATTCCATGGCCTCTGAAAGTGAGACAGAGTTAGCTTTATACTTTCAGTTATATAGCTGAGTCTGAGACATGCTCCAAGCCCCCAAACACGTGATACTTGTGAAGACCGACACTCAGGAAACTGGAACTGTTCAAACTTGGCTCATTCAGGGTTCGATCTCAAGTAGCTTTAAGATGAAATTATTCATTTCATCACCATTTTATAAGTTTAGAGGAAATTGTAAATTTAAGTCTATTTGTTAATACCAATTACCAAATCATTTGTTTTAGTTACATAAAATTGTAACAAAAACTTTCTGAGGATGATAAGTCACTAAAAAAAAATTGTGTAGAGATTAGAATTTATAATTTTGTTCCTATTATATATGATAGGCCGACCATTAAAAAGTAAAAACACCTATCTGTATTGATAGACTAAAATACTAGTTGGGTTTGATAAAAGAACTGGTTCATTTGCTCCCACATTTTTTTTTTATTTTTTTAATTCATACAAATATAGATAAAAAAAAAGGCCAATTTGACTTGTCTTAGTCTGATTCAAATGGAACAGATGAAGTAATGTGACATAAGAAATTTGGGTGGGCCCAACTCGCTTTTTATGAATTGCCCACAACCTAAACCAAACCAAACTAGGGATGGCAACCGGGCGGGGCGGGGCGGGTACGGGTTTCGTGATACCCGTCCCCGTCCCTGCGAGCCAAACCCATACCCATTCCCGTACCCGTACCCTTCGGGTATGTAATTTTTATCTTCATCCCCGTCCCCGTCGGGCATCGGGTATATCCATACCCGTACCTGTACCCGTCAAATTTTTTATTTTATTATTATTTTTTTAAATATAATATTTTTAAACTATTTTTTTAATTATATTATAATTATAATTAAATTATTTCTCTATCTCATATTATAATAAATAATTACACATAAAAATACTAAAATTCTTTAATATAATTAAATTAAAAGTGAGTATTTAATTAAAAATGGGAACGGGGACGGGTACGGGGCGGGTAAGTACATACCCGTACCCGTAGCCGTACCCGATTTAATATATCGGGTTTTACCCGTACCCGTACCCGTACCCGGTCAAACCGGGTATTCCCCGTCAAAGTCGGGACGAGTTCGGGTATTACCCGCGGGTACGAGTATATTTGTCATCCCTAAACCAAACGAATTCAAGTGTAGCAGTTTGAATCAATTGGCTCCCCTTCTATAATGTGCAAATTCAATTTTGAAAAAAAATAAAAGAAAATACATGATTTTTCCCAAAAATAATACATAATCCATCATTGAAAAAGTATAAACACCATATTTTATTGTAATTAACTTGCACTAATTAAATAAAAAAAAAGTTTAATAATAATATATCAATAGTTTTACATTGTCATCTAATCACAATTGACATAAATAATAAATTTGTTGACATTTATAATAATTATTAGTATGACAAATTTTTTCATGTTTGAAAATTATAATTCCTACCTAAACTCTAAGAATCATGTCTATTTAGTTAATCATAATTATTTATGAAAATGTTTTTAAATATTAGTTGTGAATCAAAAATTTTATTACATTAAATAAGCAAATAATGTTAACATGACGTTTTTAATACATTAAACTATTTTTATCTCTAGAAAATTAGTTTTCCACATTCTCATGGAAATAATTTTGTGAAAAATTTGAACAAAAACCACTTTGTAAACAATGTTTTTTAGGATTGATATTTTTTAAATAACAAACAAAACGTGAGAAATTAACATTTTTGATATTAGATTCTTGAAAAAATATAAATTTTTTTGTATATCAAACATCTTTTAAAAGTCATACAAATTATAATTTTTAATTGATTGATTGTGTAAAAAATTTTAAATCAAAGGATATTACTATTAAAAAGAAAATAATATGCCATAAAACTCCATCCATATGTTTGATTCGTTTCAAGTTTGACGGGGTTGTAAAGTCTCAACTTGATAACCAAATCCAAATCAAATACTATCATATTGGTTTCATTTTATTCATGTTGGACTATTTGGATTAGAAAATTTAAATCACTTTAACTGTTTTTGTTTGTATCTACATGTTTAGATTAATCAACATTTTTTATTTTTAGTGAAATATTAAAACATATTTTCATTTTGTCCCTAATAAAAATTATTAAAACAATCTTATACAAATATGCAATAAGTAATGATGAAGAAAAAAGAAAAGAATATCTTGCTATATAGCAGTTGGAAAAGTGGAATTATGTGGAGCACTTCTCATTCTCAACCGGTTCACCCCATAACGATCCAACATGACCACTTTTTAGACTTTAGAGTCTGGTAATTTCATTATTGCACCCTCACTGTATGTACCTCATTCCTAGCTGAATGATCCTTTTCTTTCCAATAAGTATACTTTATGATGCACCTCATTCCTAGCTTTCTTCAAACGTAGACCACGTCCTAGTTTTTCATTTCTTTTTAGATTGGTTATATATGGTAAGTTGACATACCATAATTTGCCACCTTCGGTGTCACGTGTAAGATGACATTGTAGGCTACGTCACCTTGGGTGTCACATGTAAGATCACATTTAAGTTATGTCACCTTCGGTGTCACATTAAGACCACATCATAAAAAAATTTACACATTATTTTAATGCCAACAACTTATTTGCTTGTGTTTGTAGTTATAGGGATTAATTTATGAAAGAAAAAAGTATATGAAATGAAATAGAAATTAGGGCAGAGTGCAAGGTTCAAAATTGTATTTTCACTATTTATTTTCATCCGGAGGTCAAAAAGCTCTAGCATCGTCAAATGAAAAATGAAAAAAGATTTTATGCCTAACAATCCTCTTATTGCGAAGCTGTTAGCTGAAAATTCAGCCTTCTAAGCCAAAGTGAGTGAAGTATCATATGTATCAAATCAAATGGCTTCGCTGGACGGTTTATCACAAAATGCCTTCGGACCCTCTTCACATTTGAATACAACTCCATGTACTTATATTTTGAAACATTTTGTAAAATAGTCTTAATTTGTGGTATTCTTTCAACTGGAATTTCCATGGAGAATTGACTCCAATTAAGGACATCAGTGAAAGGCAAAGAGTAGTTGTGACAAATTATTACAGGGACACACCCTGCATAAATTGCTTCCACCACTCTAGGGCTTGCCACTTCATGCCCACTGGGGCACAAGCAAAACTTGCTTAGGCCCATCAACTTTGTATAGTCTTCACCCTTTGGAAGGTACTCGTGAACTTGAACTTCTTTATCCTTCCCCTTCCATCTCTTGAGAAGTTTTTTCCTAATGTTACCATGGGCTCCACCGGCGAAAAAGCCCAATATTGGGCGGTTAACAGGGAGTTGGGCTGTATTAGGTGGGCCAAGCTTTCCATTAGGCAAATACACTTCTGGAATGGACACGTCTCTGTTGGGCTGGAATCCTTCTGAAGTGTTGGCATTGCACAGTACCCTGATGAAGTACTTGAAGAGTTGAGGATTGGCATATGAAATTGTTGGACCCTGATTCATCAAGTAAAGCCCGTGCGTGCCCTTTTTATTTCAATTTACAAAAATCAAAAGCAACCTAGTAGGAACTTGACTAATAAAAGTAAAACCTCAATAGATAACATCATTAAAAAGACATTAAAGTTTTGTACCTAGGAAAAGGCAGAGAAGGGTATGTGGACCTACCCAATCATGGCATGAAACAAGAAAATGGTCAGAACCTTTGCTTCTGTTCCAATAAGGATATCTATTTGCAACAATGTTGATATAATCTTCCAGCAAGTGTTGCAAGCGTTCAGGATCATAGTCGGATCTGGACTTTCTAGGCTTGTAAACGTAGCGAATGACCTTGGCAACACTGAAGGGAATTAAGAAGAGATGGGCCTGTTGAGGATGGGTAGCCTTGAAGGGGCTCTTGTTACTTGTGTCCATTTCGTCCATGAATTGCCCTTCGATGGCGTATTTGTTGTTTACGGGCCCTTCATGCACTAATGGTTGCTCTCCTTCTCTGTATACCCAAACCTTGAACCTCTTCATCATCTCCATGTGGCTCCTGCGGTTTTCATGTTCTGTGTATCATTAGGAAAAAGATCTATTTTTACCCCAATCATTAATACATAGATCAACATCATTAATGTATATATTGAATGTCATAATATAATATCAATTATTCCATAATTTATGAGAAATGCAGAATAATCGAATATAACACTATGATTTAGAACTATGACAAGGCCAAATTACACTCTATTCTACGTTTTAAAATGTAGCTAGTATTCTCTGCAAGTTGTCCTTTGTACTTGAACAAATACTGTATTTGGTTTTTTTTTTCCTTTAAGTGGTAACTAATTTGTTGAACTAAAGTACATTATGTTGAGCTGTTTCAGGGAAATGAACTTGAGTACTAGTAGTTAGTAATTCATGCGATTGTAGCTTTAGCTCAGGATTTAGACATAGTTGCAGGTTTAGACAGAATTAATGGACGTATAATCACATATTGTAAAGTAATCAGATTATGAGAGCTTTATAAGTTGAGAAGGGGTGAGTGTATTACATTCATTTGTAAAGAGTATTATGCAGTGATTTTATTATTAGACAAATTCATTCGATATCAACTAGTGTTTTATTCTACGCGGCCCTACATTCTCTAGTACATTTATGCGCAGCACCTACCTACTACGCTCCAAAAGCAGCAGAATATTACTTGTGAACAAAACAAAAAATTAAACTTGTGAAAACAATCCAAAAATAGGAAAAAGAAAAAGAGAGATTCAGAATGGATCAAGCTTAACTGGTGAAAAGCGTGTGGATTCAGGTAAATGGATCCTTTGGGAACAAAACTCTCTTTCGATGCGGCAGAGTAGTTATTGGACCGAATTGCTTCTTTTATAAATGCTCGTGAACGTGCTAAACCTTGTTCAATCCACTCCAAACTAGTCCTATTCTTCATGCTACGGCCAAGCTGAAAGTTAAAGACAAAAAAGAATTAATCCAAGAATAATGAGCTAGACCAGCTTTTCAAAAGATTATCAAGGTTAATTGAATGGAATACCTTAATCCTTATCTGTACTGAATTGTTGTAGCTGTGATTTGCAGAGGTGGAGGGTAGTTTCCCTTTTGGGGAAATCATAGAAGAATCTGAGTGGATGGGGATCATATGATAATCATATGAGGGAGTGAAGAAAACTAGGAAAAAATTCAGGAAGAACGCTATAAAGACTAAAGAAGATAGTGGGGATTTGAAAACTTTCATGTTTTGGAAATCTCCCTCTAGATGCCTCTGTTTCACCACCAATTATAAAATAAGTTTAATTGTTAATAATTGAGTTTGAGGATTCAACATCCCATCAAATAAACAATCTATTCTTATCCCAATGCAAGTAAGCAACCACTACTCTAGTAGTATCTTTATTTCACCATGTAAAGTAGAGTGCTTCTCTCACTTTAAATTAATTGCTTGAACAAGTCATTCATTTTTCTTTTTTTAATATAACTCTGTCTCTTTCTCACATTAACAATTTTAACCATGCAACTCACTCCATAACAATTACATTTTTCTTTGAATAACTACTCCTAGAGATGCTCTAATCTTTTTTTAACTTTATGGGGGAGTATGTAACTAGCAAACAATTTAACCCACAAATGCTGCCATCAGCTATGACCCACCTACATAGATGGTCCCGTGAAGACGTGTAGTCGAATTCTTACGTTTCTTTTTTGGAATTAAGCATTTACTAAATTTTGGCAAAGACATTAATTGATAATATAAGCTAAAATCAGAAGAGTGTATAGTTCATAGATAAATCTTGTATCTTCTGACAAATATTTTAATACTTCATAAAATAAATACAAAAACAGGTATATGTTTCTATATGTAACAGGTGGAATAGAGGATTAATGAAAAAAAAATGTTATAGGATGATTTAGAATTATTGTATTCATACTCAAACTAGGGATAGCTACGGACTACCAAACAGGTGAAAAGAACTCTGGGCCCATGATTATCATACAATTATGAATTATAAACTTAATCATCATTGCATTGTCTATCTAAACTGCTAATTCCAACTGAATCTATAATGTTTACAGGACATAGTTACATGGAAAATCATGAACAACAGTATCTGGTTTTAGCTAAGAACACAGCTCAGATCATCCAAAAAAAAGTTACTCTAGTCACTAAAGTACTAAACCTAAAATAGTTTATATAACCTCGAATGAGCTGTGCTCAAACATGCCTAAAAGTGACTTTTATATGCAGAAACAACCCTTCATTGAGAAGCCCTGAGCCTGAAGTTCAGCCTTCTAAGCCAAATTGAGTGAAGTATCATGTGCATCAAATCAAATGGCTTAGCAGGCCTATTCATCACAAAATGTCTTTGAACTCTCCTCACATTCATATGCAATTTCATGTACTTCCTTTCTGAAACATTTTGCAATATTGTCTTGATCTGTGGTATATTCTCCACTGAAATTTCTATGGAGAATTGACTCCAATTGAGCACATCACTGAAGGGCAAAGAATAGTTCTGAGAAATGATCACAGGAACACACCCTGCATTAATCGCTTCCACAACTCTAGGACTAGCCACTTCATACCCACTGGGGCACAAGCAAAACTTGCTTAGTCCCATTAATTCAGTGTAGTTTTGGCCCTTAGGAAGGTACTCATGAACTTGAACTTGCTTATCTTTGTCCTTCCAGTGTTGTAGAAGCACCTTCCTAATGTCACCATGGGCCCCACCTGAGAAAAAAGCTAATATGGAGCGGTTCATTGG